CTATATAAGTATAATATTATATGTATATAATATATGTATTATATGTATATAATATGGAGGGGGTTGGCAACGTTAAAATATTCTACCAGATTTAGAAACTAGGGGGTTATCTCTACTCAAAACTGGATTTTCCCCCCTGACTGGGCGAGAAGAAAGTAAGCTTACAAGGAGAGGACCCTAACACAAATTCTGTCACCAGTCATCCAACTTCTCTAGCGGTTCTACATCAGTAGATATTCTGGTGTCTATTTTCTTCCTCAGCTTAGAAGGAGCATCTCCAAACATCTACTAAACCCTCAAAAAGTTGACCATGCTTCGCAAGGTTCCCCAGAAAAACTAAAACATTTCACGTTCTCTGCCCTGTTTGAATCTGTCTCAAAACAGTGGGATCCAGACCAAAGCACCCTTCAATGCCTAGGGAGCAATCGCGCCTCACCTGTTGCTTGTGAGGAACGAAAACTACAACTCCCATGAGAAAGTGGGGCCGCGGAATCCACAACTCCCAGCATCCTCTCAGAGGCCCTAGCCGATCAGGCTAGTAGGCGGAGCGGGACTGTAAATGTCTGCGGAAGCTGTCGAGAAGCGTTCCTTTGGGATAGCCGCAGCTGAGGAGCAGTCCGCGGCTCTGATAGAGCAAGATGTAGCCTGCGGCCTGGAGAACATTCCCGTGAGAGTATGGCCTCTGGGGGCGGGGCCCAGACCTCAGCCTTTCTAGGTAGAGGCGGGACTAGGGAGGCGGGGCCAGTGCATTTTTCTTGTGGGGGTGGAGCTAGAGCGGCTCCTATTTCCCCCCGGAGGCGGGGCCAGTGCGTTTTTTTTTTTTCTTGTGGGGTGGAGCTAGAGCGGCTCCTATTCCCCTGGAGGCGGGGCCAGTGCTTTTTTTTTTTTCTTGTGGGGTGGAGCTAGAGCGGCCCCTATTCCCCTGGAGGCGGGGCCAGTGCTTTTTTTCTTGTGGGGGTGGAGCTAGAACAGCTTTTATTTCCTCCCTCCCCCGAGGCGGGGCCCGCGCTCTTCATCCAGGGGCTGGGCTCGAGAGTCCATGGCCCTGCAGGGGTTGACTAGAGGGCTGCTTTTAGTTACCCCAGTCGGGGCTTCCAGGTAGGGGCGGAGACAGAGGCCTACCCCCCACCTCCAGGGGAGGAACTAGAGAGCTGCTCTGAGCGACAGTAGGCGAGGCCCTCGCTCTCTGTGTAAGGGCGGGGCTAAAGGGCGGCTCACAACCTCGGGGGCGGCGCTGAGTTCTTCCATGTGGGGCTGGCTTTCAGGGCTGCACACAACCCAAGGGGGCGCTAGGGCACCTTTCCTAAGAGCCGAGAAAGGTAGACGCATAGCTCCCCCACGTGGTAATAGTTGTCAAACTGGCCGTAGCCACAGGCGTCTTTTTCTTTTCTCTAATATTTTTGTTTTTTAAATATTAACAGCATACAGGGTATTTGGTTTTATTACGGCGTTTAAAAATGTGCATTAGCAAAGGTTAATTATGCATAATAGTGAGTTTCATGATGCCATTTTCACACCAGCACATAGTGTGTTTTGATCATATACACGACCACCACTCCTTTCCTCTTTTGTCCCTTTCCCACTCCTAGTAATCCTTCATCTTCCTGGCTAGTGCCCCCTTCAACTTTGTGTGTGTGTGTGTGTGTGTGTGTGAGAGAGAGAGAGAGAGAGAGAGAGAGAGAGAAAAAGAGAGAGAGAGAGAGATAGAGAGAGGAGAGGGAGAGAGCCAATGAATGTCATCAAGTTGTTTACTGAAACTGCAGTCCTTTTTGTTTGATATTTGCTTATTCTTTGAGAATATCATACAATAAAAGGTGATCTTTCTCTTCCCCACCTACCCCCCACCCCACCCAAGGGAAGGTTCTTAAATGAACAGAATTTAATATTTTTCTATGAACTTGTAAGACCTGAACAAGGATTTTACCTTATTCTTCTTGTGAAATGGCAGCTCCCTATAGTGTGTGTGGTAGAGGGGTGACTTTTCAGAAAGAACACTTTCTCTGGTCTTGTACTCAGAACTTATTGAGGTATCAGAGCAAATCAGTGTCTGGTCTCAACTGTCTCTCATGTAAGAATGGTCTGGTTATGAATCTCAGCTCTTACAGTCAAACTTAGCTGAGGTCTCCTTCATGCTGAGAGGTCTTGGGCAAATGTAAGTTAACTTCTGAAAAGCCTTGGAAGGCTTCTGTGTTGAGTTTAAGTAATAGTACCTCACTATACAGCTGCTTTGGGGGTTACTGTTTCTAGTTCTCTGTGAGAACTCAATAAATGTCCACCACTGTTACTGCCTCAAAGCCCTTGCTCTAACCTTCAACCCCTCCAACTGTGGTCTAAAAGTTGCCTGAGAAATTGGGAATACCCGAAGATTCTGGTGAAAGAACTTTGCCTTGGATGTTGGACTTAGATGATGGTTTAGTCATCCAAGCTACTCCACAAAGCCTGAGGTTTTGTTTTCAAAGTGAAAATAATTTAAAATAGTATACCTTTTCCCCCATCTATTATCAGTACAAATTGGACCTGTCTCTTCCTTCCTTCTAGGGTTTCTGTGAGCGGCAAATGGGGCAATAACTTCCATAGCAGATTTCAAAAGGCAAAACAAGATTTTAATTTGAGAAATAGTAACTGTTCTAACAAATTATAATTTGTGGCCAATAATACATGTCTGCATTTGCATTGACGGTTTATTGTTAATAACACAAGTAACAACAAGATAACACTATATGTGCCAATGAGCCCTTAATGTTTGTTCAGGATCAAACATTACAGAATGTCTGGTAAGAGCACCTATATGTTTTTCTTTATTCATCAAACCATTGAGTGCCTGTAATATGCCAGGCTCTGTAATATCTCAGGTCTAAAAGATGACTTCATTTGGTTGAAGAAGACAACATTTGGTTGCTTTTTTATTTTAACTTAGAAGTATCTAATATGAAAGAAAAATGCTCCATTGCTCTATTCTTTTTTTGTTTGTTTTTTTCTTGGGTTTTTTGTTGTTGTTGTTTTGGTTTTTTTTGTTTTTTGGTTTTTTTGTTTTGTTTTGTTTTTTTGTTTTTTGTTTGTTTTTTTGGTTTTTCGAGACAGGGTTTCCCTGTGGCTTTGGAGGCTGTCCTGGAACTAGCTCTTGTAGACCAGGCTGGTCTCGAACTCACAGAGATCCGCCTACCTCTTTCTCCTGAGTGCTGGGATTAAAGGCATGCACCACCAACGCCCGGCAAATGCTCCATTCTTAAGTAACTTCAATAAATATTCATTAAGAACTAAACGTATACCAAGTGGTGAGTTGGTATGCAGAGAGTAGAAGAACATACTCCTTACCTTCGAAGCACTAACAGTAGAATGATCCTGCAATTGATTTTAACAGTGTGTGCCACTGAATGAAGTGTGTGTGTGTGTGTGTGTGTGTGTGTGTGTGTGTGTGTGTGTATGTCCTTGTGTGTCTGTGTGTATTGTGAGCTCTGCAAGTAAGTTTCCAGTCTTGAATTATATTTCTCTTTGCCTTCTTCTCTAATAACAATCTGTAAAACAGTTGGAATAATGTAATTCTTTATTAGCCTACTTTATTTTATATTCAAACGTAACTAAGAATAACTTAATTAACAAGGCAGCTGCCTGTAATCTCACTACTCTAGAGGGAAAAGCAAGAGAACCATGTAGTGATATTTATGATTTATTGAAGCTTGACTGAGGATTCAGAAAAGCAAAGTCAGCCTCAAGCTATGGAGATCAGGCAGTGGTGATACACACCTTTAATCCCAGCAGCCAGAAGCTAGGAGTTGATGGTACACACCTTTAATCCTAGGACTCAAGATTAAGAGGTAGACAACTGTGTAAATCCAAGGCCACCCAGATCTACACAAGAGTGAGTCAGTCTCTAAGAGAATTGTAGCTCACACCTTGAATCCCAGCACTAGAGTGGTATAAAAGACAGGAGCAAGTAGTCAGTAGGAGGCATTCATTCTCCAGCCACACAGAGGAGAGTTTACAGTCTGAGGCTTAGTGAGAGTTCATGGAGACAGGATCAGCCCATTCAGCCTGAGGCAGAGGTAAGAAGCTAGTGGCTGGCTGCTTTGCTTTTCTGATATTCAGCTTAAAGTTTGAATCCAAATATCAGTCTCTGGGTCTTTTATTTATTCCTGTTACAGAACCATACATGTAAGGGCCTTCCTAGGCTATATAGCAAGACCCTGTCTCCAAAAAATGTTGCTAGGAATGTAGCTCAGTGGCAGAGTGCTTTGTGCTCAAGTTCCTGGGTTTGATTCTCTGAAACATCAAAAGTTAAAAAGGTTTTATATAAGTATCTTCCTTAGAACCCTCACAGTCATTACTGTCCATAAACTCAAGGGATTTTGATGTACTAATCATAGTTTTCAAATTCAAATAAGTACCTGTCTATTTTTAAAAGGAAGAGGGAGGAGAGCAGAAGTCATCTGATTGATCCTTAGACCAACCACTGAAGGCATACATGAAAGTCAGGAGAAAGAAACCATTGTAAAAAGACATTCCTGGTGTTGCAAAATGAGATACTGAACAAAGTAGAACTCAGCCAGGTAATCAGGCAATTTTACTGTTGCAGAAGGATGCACAATGTCCCACATCAGCTGTGCAAGCACATGGTGGGGGAGGGGTCACTTAACCTATGTCTCACGCCATTGGTGACAGCCCAACCTCACAATCTGACATGATTGGCTAGATAATAATGGGTAGGCAGGGGAAGTTTGCAATAGAGAGTTGAGTTTCAAGAAAGTCTACCATCCAGAGTACAGTAAATAGGCAAATTCACAAGAGTTTCACAAGATGGAGGAGTTTATAGAATATAGGTCTATTGGGAGGCATTCTTGACAGCATAAAACAAGCCTCACGGTTGCTCAGGCTGTCAGTGGTACTAGTGGTGTTGGATGTTCGTGTTATGGATCCTAGGGACACAGGGTAGAATTCTTCCTGTGCTATGGAAATTCTCTTCCACTGACCTCCACTCCATCTCACCTTCAGCTGTTTTCTTCCATGTATTCCATATACATAAAAGGAATCTTACAAAAAATCAAAACAGCTTACTTGCTGCAAGCCCTGGCTTCACAGGCCCACACAACCATTAAGGCATGAAAACTCAAGGTAAAAATAACTTTATGTCTGCTTTGCTTTGGGGTGCTGTGGAAAGAGAAAAGGGAACATTGAAATGTTCACATTAGAAGCCAGCATATCATAACGACCTCGGGGTTGAAAGCCAAGGAGAAAATAAACTAATTGGTTTTCTCAAGCTAAGTCAGGTTTAATCATTTGTCAGGTCCCTCAGATCAACTTCAAACGTTATTTTTAAGATCTCAATTGCGCCTTGACCAGAATTATCTGGCTCACAGTCTCCTAATAGCTGTTAGAAGCAAAAACAAACTGATGACGCTGGAGGCCAAGTCCAAGGATTCTTGTAACTGGGTTTCAACACAACCAAAAAAGGAAGGAAGGTTTTCACAGTGCTTCCTTAGGTATTCCTTGGGATTCAGGATACTTCCTTAAGGGTCATGCTGTTGTTTAAAATCCTACTACTATACAAACTTGGACTTGAGTTTCTGGGGCTTTGATACAAAATGTTAATCAGAACAGTCCCAATTTGCAATTGAAGCTGTCAGAACAAATGGTGTCTGCTGTATGTCTAGAACTACAGATAAGAGGGAC